CGTCCTTCCAACCCCACGCCGTGGCCCCGCACCCCTCCACGTCCCCACAATCCCCCCCTGTCTCTCGATATCCCCCCAGTCCCCCGCGTGTGGCAGAGACCCCCCCACACACACCTGGCACACGGTGGGCACGGGAATGGCACCGATGTCCCCCCCCGTAATGGCTGTGAGCTGGGGTGACCCCACCGCGGGGATCCCTGGGGGCACATGGGGCCAGGGGCTGTCCCCTCCTGCAGGTGACACAGGACAGAGCCCACCGGGGGGACCCTAAATCCACACGGGGGGCCGGGGGAGTCTCTGCAGCACAGGTGGGTGCTGGCTGGGGGGGGCTGGATGGTGTCCCCCCGGGTGTCCCCGTGTCCCCAGGGATGCCAGAGCCCCCAGACCCGTGTCCCCCCATCCCTGGGGACACCGCCAAGGTGACACGGGGGGAGGGGAGGGGGGCTCTGTTGGGGAACACGGAGGACCCCCCCAGTGTCACTGGGGGATGCAGGTGACCCATGTCCCCACCACCTGTCCCTGTCACCCACCCACCCAGCCCAGGGTGTCCCCAGAGCACGGGGTGTCCCCAAACCGTGTCCCCAGGGGGGCTGCCCAGCCGCCGGAGGGTCGGGGTGCCCAGGCAGGGCTGTCGCCACTCTGGTGACACAGGAGTTGGTGTCACCGTGGTGGTGACACTCGGCAAACACTGTGGTGGCCCTTCCGGGAAGGCTGGTGGTGACACTGGTGACACCAGTGCCCGGCAGCCACTGGCAGGGCCCCAGGTGGCCGCTGCGGGGACACTGGGGACACACGGGGTGCCCCCCAGCCAGCACAGTGACCTGGGTGATGTCACTGTGTGCCACCCCCCAGCTGGCATCCCTCGTGTCCCTGGCCCCTGTCACTTCCCGGCCAGCATCACTTGTGTCACCAGTGCCTGTCCCCAGTCCCTGTCACCTCCTGGACAGCACCCCTTACGTCCCCAAGCCCTGTCCCCCCACAGCCAGTGCCACTCTTGTCCCCTGTCCCCAAGCCCTGTCCCCCCACAGCCAGTGCCACTCTTGTCCCCTGTCCCCATGCCCTGCCCTCAGCCCCTGTCCAACCCCACAGTCAGTGGCACTCCTGTCCCTTGTCCCCAGTCTCTGTCCCCCCCCAAGCCCTGTCACCTCATAGCCACTGTCACACATGTTCCCAACCCTGTCCCCCCCACAGCCAGTGTCACACGTGTCCCCCCTCCCTGTCCGGGCCACCCACCCCCAACGAGTGCCACCCCAGGGTGGCACGGCCACGGGGAGGGGCTGCCACCCCCTCAGCCCGCCCAGTCACCGAGGAGCCTTTGGGCACCCAAACTGGGGCCACTGGGAACTCGTGTCCCCCCGCCCGCTCGGTGTCCCCCCGGCACCCCCAGTGTCACCCCCACACCCTCGGGGGGTCGCCGGTGTCACCCCCCCACCCTGGAGTGTCCCCAGTGTCACCCCACATCCCCCCGAGGAACCCTCAGTGTCACCCCCTCCCAGGGGTCCCGGCCGTGCCAGGGACTGGGGTGGCTTCACCCCCCCACACTGTCCCCATGCCCGTCCCCGCTGTCCCCTTGCTGTCCCCGCTGTCCCCATGCCCCTGTCCCCACTGTTCCCATGCCCCTGTCCCCACTGTCCCCTTGCTGTCCCCACTGTTCCCATGCCCCTGTCCCCACTGTCCCCTTGCTGTCCCCGCTGTCCCCATGCCCCTGTCCCCACTGTCCCCTTGCTGTCCCCACTGTCCCCATGCCCCTGTCCCCACTGTCCCCATGCCCCTGTCCCCGCTGTCCCCTTGCTGTCCCCACTGTTCCGCCCCTTGCTGGTCCCCACGTTCCCCAGGCCCCTGTCCCCCACTGTCCCATGCCCCTGTCCCCCCCCCCTCTGTCCCCTTGCTGTCCCCACTGGCCCCTTGGCTGTCCCCGCTGTCCCCATGCCCCTGTCCCCGCTGTCCCCTTGCTGTCCCCCCTGTCCCCTTGCTGTCCCCACTGTCCCCATGCCCATCCCCGCTGTCCCCTTGCTGTCCCCACTGTCCCCATGCCCCTGTCCCTGCTGTCCCCTTGCTGTCCCCACTGTCCCCATGCCCCTGTCCCCGCTGTCCCCTTGCTGTCCCCAGCCCGAGGCCGGGGAGGGTTTGGTGTCCCCCCACCCCCCATCCCCACTCACCTGTGGGCCCCGGGGGTCCCCGCTGGCTGGACCCCCCGCGGATGCTTTTTGGGGTAAGGGCTTCCTGGCTGGGGGAGGGACAGCAAGCCCAGACCGCAAAAAGACCCGAGAGGGACAGGGAGGTGGCCCTGCGGTGGCCCTGTGGTGGCCCTGCGGTGACGAGGTGACAGGGAGGGACGAGGACGGGGCACGAGGAGCCCCCGGGGATGGGGCCTGTGGTGGGACACGGCCCCCA